AAAGGAATTTTTACCTGCTAAAAACTTTTTTTTAAATGCTCAAGTATTTGAAAAAATGAGATTAATTGATCCAAATAGATATTTAGTTTTAAATCAATTTTTAACAGAGAGAAATGAATTTGATGAGAAGCTCGCCTTTAAAAACGTTGGAAAAATTAAATTGAGAAAGATTGTTGAAAAAGGTAATTCGTTAATTGACGTTATCAAAATATATAAAAAGTATATAAATTTATTTTTTTAACTAGAAATTAGTTCAAAATTAACAGTTGTGGATCAAAATAGATTATTAACATTACTAAACCAAAGCTTAAAATTTCAGGAAATTAATTCTGTGTTTGACCAAGATACTGCAACTGAAAGCTATTTTGATCTTTTTCAGGGAATAAAGGTAGATGGAACTTCAGCAAATAAGTTTTTGGTAGAGAAAATTGATAGGATTCCAAAGACTCCATTAAATAAAATTAAATTCCCAAAGTCGTCCTTTTGTGAATCTGGAATATTTTTTGTAAGTGAAGAGCACAAAAAAAAATTGTATAAAATTGTAAATAGGGAAGCAAAAACTTTGTTACCGGGACTGCAGATGGCTTTATAGAGGTTTTAGACAACTTTTTAAATATACATAAATTTATATTTTTTTAAACGTCATCGTTAAGATATGGGATTTTGCAACTGGTAAACAAGATATGACTTTTCCTTTTCAAAAGGAAGAAAACATAATGATGATGGATGATTCAGTTCTAACTTTAAATTTAAGCAAAGACTCAACCTTACTAGCGTCAGGTGAATAAACCTTTATACTTGAGTTATGTAATATCCTCTAATCTTTAAATAATTTGATAATTTTGAAGGGAGCAGTAAAGGAGTGGTTACTGTTTGGAGAATTAATAGTGGTATTATTTTTAAAACATTTAAAACAGCGCATCAACAAGGAGTTACATCATTATGCTTTAATCATGATGGTACAAGTTTAATAAGTAGTAGCTTTGATTTGACAATAAAATTACATGGTTTAAAATCAGGAAAAACATTAAAAGAATTTCGTGGACATACTAGTTTTGTAAATACTTGCTTTTTTAGTCATTGTAAAACAAAAATTGTCAGTGGAAGTTCTGATGGAACTGTTAAGGTCAACTAATTTCTTATTTTCTTTATTAAAAAATATTATTTTATCAGATCTGGGATTTAAAATCAAATGTTTGTATAAAAACTTTAACAATTCATGAAGGCAACTTAAGTAACACTATATCACCAACAGTATTTAAACTGGTAGAACACAAATTTGAAAACCAATATTGTTTTTTTGTATTTAACAATTCAAATTTTATTCACTTGGTGGACTTTAATGGAAATGTAAAAATAAAAGAAAACTATAAAAAGAAAAAAAAAAGAATTTTATTTTTAATTTACAAAAATTTTTTTTTTTTTTTTTTTAAGATAATAAAATTTTATGAATTGAAAAAAGCTGGAAATTTAAACTTTGTTCAATTTTCACCAAAAAAAAGTATTCTGTATTTTTTTTGTGACCCAAAAGAAGAAGAAAATAAAAGAAAAACAGGTGAGGAAGATGTTAAAAATGGTTTTGGGCGCAGTGAAGTTGGAGAAGTAGGTAAAGATGGAGAAATTTATTTGAATACTTTCGAATTTGAAACGGAATATTACGATTTGATACCAGTAAATCATGGAGGTACCACAGGAAATGTAGTTGGGTTTAGTGCTAGTGACAGAGGAAATTACTTGGGTAAGAAAAAAACCAAATTTTCTATACATTATGTATCATAATTTACTTTTTGTTTGTTTTTTTTTTTTTTTTATTTTAGGTATATTTTTTGATAATGGTAACCTTAATTTCTTTAAAGATTAGTTTATAAAAATAAAACAATAACTTTTTCAATAAATAAAATCAAAAATTTATTATAAACTAACATATTATAAACTAACTAACATACACTGTTTTTAAAAACAAAAGTTACTTGTATTTTTTATATAAGTCATCTACTTCTTTTCCTTCCAACTTGTCAGTGGACGTATTCGAACAACTTGCTAACATCCAAGAAAATATTTCATCTATGTCTAATATAGAAAGAAAAAAAAGCAGGTTTAGTGAAAAATTAATTAAAAATTTTATATAGCCAGTTACCTTTTTTTACAGACTTTTCAAGAAACATTAAGCACATATCAAATCTTTTTACTTTACTGAGATGACTTAATACATTGAAACATTTCTGAAAATTTACACCTTTATTTAAATAATTTAACTTCAAATTTCTTATAATAATTTTTAAAAAATTTTCTTGTAAACTATTATTGAAAATGGTAGGAAAGTCTTTGGGGTCGATTAACTAAAAAAAAGACCATCTAAACACAAAAATTTTATGAGATGTTTAACCTCTAAATATCCAAAAATTTTTTCATCATCATTTTTTATGGATTTTAATCCTAATTCAAGTTCATACATGTTTTTTGGGGCATTGATTATAAATTTATTGGCACATTCATTTGAATAAATTTTTGATAAATTTGCGCGGTTCTTTGATTTTTGGGATAAATTATTTGTTTCACTTTCTATTTTGGGGCCTGAAAACTTGTCAACATTAATAGCCTTGCTGTCAGGTACAATTTCATTCAATTTTTTTAATGCTATAGTTTCTTTGGAGGCAGTATTAACAGTTGATTTTGTACTGATTTCCTTCAATATTTCGTCACTGCTACCATTAGTATTTTTAAAGTAATCCTTAGCGTCTCCAACTTCTTTAATTGCAACTCTTTTTCTACCACTTATAATCTTTTCAGCATTATGGGCAATATCTGAATCAACTTTGCTATCGGTTTCAATTTTTTTGGTTGAAACTTTTTCCTCATTTTTTACAACTATTGAATTTTCTATGTCAAAAATTTTTTTTAACTCTTGTTTGATGGCAACATTAGTAGGCTCTAGAGTTGCGGCAAATTTCAGGTCTACGCAATAAAAATTTATTTAATTTTTGCTGGTTGCCTACCATTTTTTGCTGCAACATAATCTTTTAATCCCATATGGGCTATTCCTCTTCTCCAAAATGCTTTAACATTCTTTGGGTCTAATTTTATTGCCGTTGTGCAATCCATAACTGCCTCAACCCAACTTTTCAAAAAAAAAAAAAATAATTTCAACAAAATACAATCTAAAAAAAATTATTTTTTTTTATTTACCATGCGAATTTAATATAGCATTGTGCTCTATTTATATAAAAAATTTTGTTTTCCTTATCAAAACTTATTGCCTTCGAGTAACAAACTTTTTAAGAAAAAAATTGTTTTTTTCAGAGTTACAAAATTTAATGCATACCAATCGCTTCTTTAAACTTTCCCATTTTAAAAAAAGCATTTCCCTTTAAAATTTAATTCAGTTTTGCTTTATTGTTATAAACAATGTATTTTTTTTAAAAAAAACCTTTTCTTTTTCTATTAAACTCTTTTCGATTTTATCAACTTCTGGTTTAGAATCAACAAAACCAACATCTATTAGGTCTTGGTCTTCGTCTAAATCATCCCAATCTCTGAAATCCTTTTTTTTTTGCGAAGTTCCTCTCACAGGAGGTAAATCTTTGCGTTTAGCATTGTTTTTTAATAAGAATTCTTTTTTTTTTATCTCTTTTTCCCCTTCATTAAGAATCAAAAAAGAATAAAAAAAAAAGGTTTATTTTTCAGTTTATACATGAACTTAATTCAACTACAGAATCTCGATAATTTTCAGCATTTTTTCGAATACTGAAAGCTGTTTCCATTTATTTGCTTTAAGGTAAAAAATATTAAAATTTTTTGGTTTTTTATATACCTTTTTTATATACCTTTTTTATTTTTTTTTTATTTTTTTTCTTTCCTTCAAAATTTTTTCGAATTTTTAAAGATTTAGTCTATCAATTAAAATTAAAAATATGTAAATAGTCTTTTTCTTTATTTATTTATTATTTGTGGAAAGAGTTTTTAAATGAAGTATAAAGATATGCAAAATTTAGCAATTGACTTTAAACGTTTCTTTAAATGTTCTGCTCTCACTCAAAATGAAAAGAGAGTAAAACCTTAAAATTAATAAATAAAAAATGCTATTTTAGTTAATTGGAAATATATTTTAAATATTTTATATTCTGTTATACCATTTTGTAAAATGAATTTGTATAGGTTTTTCTACGCAAGATTTATTTAAAAGATTGCTTAGCTAGACGGAATTTATTTTTTAAAAAAGATCATGTTACAATTATTACATCTCTAAAATTAAAATAAATTATGTAGTGTTTTAAGATAAAATACTACATCGTTCTGCATTTTTAGGAAATCTTAATTTTAAACGAAAAAAATTACACTGAAATAAAATATACATTAATGATAAGGAAATCTTAATTTTAGAACAACGTTTATTATTGTCACCATCAATTCAACAACTGAATTTATTTTTAACAAAATTTTTAGTCCAACAGTTTGCATGAGTTTTTATTTATAGAATTAATTACTTCGTAATAAAAAGAATTTTCGAAAATAATAAAAAAATATTCATATTCATATATCTGCATTGGCTTGTCTATTAGTGTGAATTCAATATATTTAAGTTTGATATTGTATTTAAATCAATAATTTTTTTTTTTCAGGGGGGTTAATGATGCTGAAGATGAGTGTTTGAATCAATTCTATTCAACTGTAACAAATATATTTTAAGTTGTATGGAATAAATTGATAGTAATTAAAATATATTCAAATTTCACATAATTTATTTATATTAATATTGAATTTGTTTTTATCAAATACTTAATTTATCTTTATTAATATTGATTATTGATATTAAATACTGATTTTATCTTTATTAATATTGAATTTATTTATATTAGATATTGAATATATTTATATTAGATATTGAATATATTTATATTAGATCTATATATTTTATTAGATATTGAATTTGTTAAAACCAACTTTTTTTAGTGGTTGATGATTTGTAATAATGATACGAAAAAAGAAAAGAGGAGCCATAAGCCGCTTTAGCTCAGTTGGGAGAGCGCAGCACTGAAGATGCTGATGTCGAGTGTTCGATCCACTCAAGCGGCATTTTAATTTAGCCATTTTCGACCCATTTTTGAACCATTTTTTAAATAGCTTTTCTTATTTCTCCCCCTTGTTGTTGAAACCTTTCCTTGCTTTATGTCCTATTTTCCCCCATTCCAATTAACAAAACTTAACTTTTTAAACCTCACTCTTTTTCTCGGTTTTATAATGATCTTTACCAAAAGAAATCCTTCTTAACTTGTAAAAAAATACTTTATAATAAATTATGTTTAACAAAACTTTTAACCTAAATCCTTTTTCTCAAATTTTCCTGTTGATGTTTTCCAAAAAAATGCTGTTATGGCATTGTATTCTGAAAACAATTTTACTCACCATCAAAAGTTGCTCATATAGACCAAGTATCAAAAATGTAGGATAAATTCACGAATGAACTTTCTTAACAATCTTATGAATAGTATAGAAAAACACATTAAGAGAAGCGATTACTTTAGATGGGTAATGCAGTTAAATTTTAATTGCAGTATCTCCATCTTTTTTGTTATTTTTAGAGAATATATTGTTTGTTGGTGTTTGTGGCAAAATTTAAAAGGCCAATAAAATAATCGTTGTAAAAATCTACTTTAAAAGTAAATAATTGTTCTTCTTTAAATATAAAAAAATGATCAAATTATTTCAAAATTAAAAATAGTAATTTCTAAAATTTAATTTTTATTAAATAATCTCTGTAAAAGGCTTAACTTTTAATCTTACTCTGTTACTCAGTTTTTTTTATTGATGTTTTATGTTTTTAAATATATCTTTTAAACACTACAGTCTTTTAATAAATAACCTTTTAAACATTATTTAAATTTATTTCATTCAATTTTCATAGTTTTAATTAAAATTTAGCATATTTTATAACATTAATATATGATTTGAGTGAAAACAATAAAAGTTTAATATTATTTCACATTCGGTACATCCTTTAGCTTTACTAAAATGTATATTATTAGGCTTTCAGTCGATTTTTTAGCAATTTTCATCAAATAAATGACATTAACTCAAAAAGTAACGACTTAAATCAATGCTTAAATATACCTTAGGAAGTAATTAAAAAGTTATAATAAAAAGGAAACTAGAATCGTTAAAAAATTGGTATTTAAATCACCAGCTAAATGCAAACAAAAAAAATCATTAGGCTCATCTATGATCTATGTGGAGTGTTGGTTTTCCAATGAAAATACTTGTGGAAAATTTAAAAAGTTTTACAAAAAATGCAGTATTTTCTTAAAATCATCAACTTTAAAAAGAAATAAATACAAAAATTTTCTTCATAAAAAAAAAAAAATAACGATTAATAAAATAAAAGAGAAACATTATTGGAGTAGAGAAAACGGGAAATTAAGTAAGGAGAAATGTGAGTTTCAACGAGAAAAAAAAATAAAAAAATAAAAAAAT